ATTTTTGAAATATGCATCTTCTTCTCTTTTAAATTATTTACCCCTTTTTAATCAAGTAGGTGAAAAACGATAAAAGATTAGAGACCCATTTCCATCTATTTAAATGAACCAATAGAGGGTCCTATAGTGGCGAATTAAGGGTTTTGCCGAAGATTTTGAATCATTATGTCTATATTACAAAACAGGCCTACATAAAAGAACACTCGGCCTTCCTGGATTAACAAACACTTCGCGTGCTACATATAATCGTTCGTGTTTCATAATAGTCAGCATATATTCTCCTAGCTAAAAAAAAAAGTGTCACCTCTAATGCAATGATTCTGTAGTAAATCATGTCAAGAACCAATGTTCTTTATTCAACTTCTAAGAGTTTTTTCACAAAAATTTAGTGATTTTACAACCAATGCATAAGCTAGCCATATTAAAAATCAAAGCCACGTTGTTTGTATTTTGTACAGTATCCTCTGGATTGACGGACGCACCTGACTCGATTGAAAACACCTGATGGGTGTATGTACAGAAGGTGGTTAGTTTGATTCTCTACCAATAGATGGCGCGTAGAATGTTGCTCGCACCTGCGCACTACATTTGTTACATTACTACTTCCGTTACCGGCGAAAGTCAACACATGCAACGTGGTTGGCCAATCCTGTGGCGCGTTGGGCGTATAGGTTGTCCGAAGTCGCCTTTTCTGAAATCCCTGAGGTCCAGACAACGTCTTCTCTGCACGCAGATAATTAGAATGTCTTCTTTTACAACAGTAGAATGTGGGGCCCCGAACTCCCTTGAGTACAGGATGTTCTTCAGTGAGTAAATTTGAGATTTAAATCGGGTCACTCTTGCTCTGTTGTTCAGTGACAGTGCCACTGATGTCAGTGATGATTCTCTTTGAAGATCATTCTTGGTATCAATCTGTCAATTTCATTTCTGATTGACATCATCTACTTGTTTATTGATATTTTGTTGTTGTTAAAATGAATGTTGACAATAAAACAAGTGTTTAGCACTGAGTTCAGTATTCAAACGTTTTTGAAACAGGGTCCCCGATCCCCGATACAGTGCTAGCGCTGTGTTGCTGTTGTGTTAGATTTATGACTCTATATCCGTATTGGTTAGATGTACATGTAACAAGCAGTCCATTGTCATCGATAAGTACTAGTTCACAAGTTCCTGACTTTTGAACATTAAATCAGCTAGAATTTTCAACTTGTATACATTGTTTAAAGCATCATCAGCAGAAATTAATGGTAAGAACAGCAAGTGCATCCGCCATGGATTTATTCCAGTTAGTGATGGACACTGTCACTTCAATGACTGATTTTTGTTTTGTATTTACTTTTTTTTAAATGCCTCAGTGTTAAATGAATATGACTGCATTTTTTTTTCAAATAGACTGTTTACATGTATATATTATTAGGAGATAGCTGAGGCGATTCTAGTTCCAGTTAGTATGATGTAAATGCACAGGGATAGATTGTTTGCCCTAAGTATGCATCCAGAGTTATGAAAGGACTATCCACTTTCTTCTGTGATAAAACACTCAATTTTTTAAGGGGCAGGGACAGTTTAACAGTCATTCTGGTCATTTATAACCAGGCTAAAATATCTTATGTCCACCTAGCTAATGTGCATTAACTCCATGGAGACTCTCACTTAATGCAGGCTGACATAACTCATGCAGAATGGTCTCAAAGACTTAAAAATCAACTCCAACACTGGAATCTTATTATGGCTAGGAAAACGATATAAACTTTGCAAAATATCTTCCTTCATTTTGATATTGTCCTCTTTATTATATTTTGGTAGAATATCACAATATATTTTCTGTTTCACTTGTAGACATTGCATCTTTTTTCAACTGGTCTTTTCTTTGTCTCCATGTGCCATCAGACATGACATGCTAGTTGCTAGTACAGGGCTGTGGTTTTTATAAGTTATAAGGGTGACAGTTAAACAATTATCAATTGTTGTCTTTAAATTATAATCAGATATCTTCTAATTCCTGATGCCAAAGTTCAGTATCTACAGTTTTATAGTGAGGACAGGTACAGTAGCTGGGACAGTTGCTGTATGATAAGCATATCTCCTGCTATTTTTAAGTGCGATTGTCACAGAATGTTTTTTGATGATTAACTTTCATATTAAGCCAATTCTCAGTAAAAAGATTAATATTAAATTAGCGACTGGCATTACATTGTATTTTTCTAGCTCATATCAAATTCCCATGAAGTGCACCTGATATTATCTGGTTAAATAGATTAAAAAGTTATCAGACAAGTACACAATTGCATAACGTCAGGTCTGTGAAAATATTTACTGGCACGCTGTCCCATTTCTTTAATCCTGTAACAATATAATTTTCATTTCAACATTGTAATTTTAAGGTTTCAACCTGGTTAGTTTGTTGCCATATTAATAATGGATAGTCAAATAAAAGATTAGAGATAAAAGGAAAAAGTAAGCAAATAAGTAGAAATAAAGACAGGATGTTAAGGGTTTATTTTTAGTCATGTTTAAGGCCGGTGATAGTAAAAGGACCAAAGTCATAGNCTAGTTACTGTCTGCCTTCCTCTACCTGTAATGTTGTGTAGAGTTTGGAACTCTAGAAACAGAAATCTGTTCAGTACTAGTTACTGTCTGCCTTCCTCTTCCTGTAATGTTGTGTAGAGTTTGAAACTCTAGAAACAGAAATCTGTTCAGTACTAGTTACTGTCTGCCTTCTTCTTCCTGTAATGTTGTGTAGAGTATGGAACTCTAGATACAGGAATCTGTTCAGCACTAGTTACTGTCTGCCTTCCTCTTCCTGTAATGTTGTGTAGAGTATGGAACTCTAGAAACAGAAATCTGTTCAGTACTAGTTACTGTCTGCCTTCTTCTTCCTGTAATGTTGTGTAGAGTATGGAACTCTAGAAACAGAAAACTGTTCAGCACTAGTTACTGTCTGCCTTCCTCTACCTGTAATGTTGTGCAGAGTATGAAGCTCTAGAAACAGGAATCTGTTCAGCACTAGTTACTATGGAATCCCAGGAGGGCCAAGTGAAATTTAAAAAAAATTAAATTGAAAAAAAAATTAAAAAATAATTAAATTGAAAAAATTTTTTTTAAACTTTAAATAAAAAAAATTACAAGATCGCGCGAAATCCCGCGAGATCGCGCGTAATCCTGCATGGCCACACGAAATCCCGCGATACCAAGCAAATTTTATTTTAAAAGGAAATCAAGAAAAAGAGAAAAAAAATCACGATATCTCACGAGAAATTGCGAGAATAGAAACATGGCGGAAGAAGCCACGATGTGCCAACATTGCACGGACTATGAACAACAGGCTCACATTCCCCTTTGTAAATCATGCGGATATGATAATATATTGCACGTAAGTTGTTTTCTCCATTCTTTATGCAAATGATAGTGTCACGTATAGTATTATTAGTGAATCAAGGACGAGTGTCCTCTTGAGTCTTATTTCTTTACTATTACTAGTAATTAGAACGTACTAGGGGCAATAAAAGAAGATAGCGACACCGGTTAAATAAATATGTCGCCTTTCCTGACACAGTGACACTGACTGGTTATGCAAACGTCTTCATTAGGCATTCAACTTATTTTACATACATGTACATAAATTTACAGTATTTTTCATTAGACTTCCTCGAAACAATTATTAAACCACACGTGTACAGTTCCCGTTAAGGATAGGAAGGTTGAAAGTAATGCTTTTCATTTGTAATTTGTAGAGTGTCGTCGGTGCTTGTAACAAAAGGCAATGTCAATGTCCAGGATACCGAAAAATTAGAACCATCAGACATTGTGTCAACTGTGGGCACTTGCCCATGGATCACGACTTCAAATTTGGTGAGCAAATTCAGTGTTTGACTTTTTTCAACATGGACCTACCAAGTTATTTGTGTTAAAATACAATAAGAATTGAAATAGTTTCATATATGATATTAATTGAAATATTTTTAATTCTTGGGCTTCAATTTGTCAATTCAAATAATAGTTATTTTATGAGAGCATGAAACAGAAGTTGATTTAAGAAAATATAAAATATAAATCATAAAATTGAATTAGGTGGATTTAGCCTGTATAATTCACCTTTTATGTTGAGGCACACATCTCCAGTGTTATTATCAAAGCTTTTCTTTGGGCTACAAATTATGAAATATCACTGTAAAAGCCTGTTATTCATATGTAATTGGCACTCGAGGAGAAATCTCAGAAAAAATTCACATCCATTTTGTAATAAACAAAAGAGCATACTAAATGAAATTGCCTTATAATGTGTGTGTGTTTAATTGTATCTCTTATAAGTCATCTATAGTCTGTCATTGCTTCATGTAAAAAATTCATTTTATTTTTGAATTTCAGATTTAAAAGTTTTCCTCAACAATCTAGTGGAACGAAATAAAACATCTTACAGTGATTTATATTTCCAATCATAATTTAATAAGGTTATATACATAATAAATGGTCATTTTAATGTGTGAATCAACCCAGCAGGCAAACGGCATTGCTTCTACGTTGATCCACCAAAATTGAATGACTGCAGACACTGTGCAGATACATGTATAATGTACTGTTTTAAGTAAAAGCCAATTTGAAAAACTCTATCCCTTATCCAACAACACACTACCGGGTTTAAAAGAGTTTACTAGTGTTATCCATTTCTGATTTTGCCATTGTAACATACTAGTTTGGGGTATATTTCAACACTGTGGTCTTCTTAAACATCTGTGCTAATAGTTATCGTTTTTTAATAGTCTGCCCTAATAGAACTAGAAGTGACCCAGGGACAGAGAATGTAGACTTAATTGAATGCCAAATGTTCCTAGAAGAAATAGCAGTGATCAGCATGCTTTCTCCAATAGTCACATCATGGGGCCTTCACCACTGAACCAGGTATGTTAATTTCTTATTATATTTACCCATTTGTCACAAGGATGTCTATTAAAGCCTGTAGTTGGATCACACACTATTCTAATGTCATGCAAATAAATAGAGTGTTTCTGGTCAACTTTCCTAAAGAGAGTTTTAATCGGTTGGCAGGAAGAATTAATGGTAAGTTGATTTCTTTTTGGTAGTTTCTGCTTTTCCCAGTCATTTAACTCCCATATATTCTAGGATTCATTAGGATAATGGAGAGTTTCTTAAACATCCCACTAACAACATGTTTACAACAAAATATATTTTTGATGATAAACGGTTATTATAAGTAAGAAAAGGCATTTCCATTACTCATGGATAAAATGGTTTATATTATTAAAGACTATTTAGTTCAGAAACTCCCAAACAACATTTCTTTAAAAATGTGCACAGATAAAAAAAAATAGGTAGGTCATACTTATTATGATTAAGAAATGCTTCCTTATATGATGATAATAGTACCTTAACAGTGATTTACAAAAAAAATAAATAATAATAGTAAATATTATGGTTTATTTGTCAATATAGTTTCTAGTTATGTAATATCATAGAATAACTGATAAATTCACAAGTATTATACTTTTCAGGGTTTGCACAGAGATGGTTGGTATGACAGACACAGTTGCATTGACAAGTGGTGCATGGTATTTGTTTACTTGCCTCTGATACAACATGATATAGATGCATTTCAACTGTGGTGGAACAACCACAAAATAAGACACCAAAGGCAGGTGTGGTTACCCACTGGTGCTGCTCCAAATGACATTTATGCATTTCCACATTTATATGGTAAATTGGGCAATTTCAGTTACATGTTTAGCATATAAAAGATTGAAATATTTAAAATTTAAAACATTTTTGTAATAATCAATCTTTTACTTAAAATATGAACACGTAGTCAATTTAACACATCACCATGTTCTTGTGGCATTGGCTATGTGACTAAATGTAACAACTGGCTTAAGGCCGGTGATAGTAAAAGGACCAAAGTCATAGAAACAAAGCCCTGGGCTTATAAGTTTTTATAAAAAATTAAAACAAACTTCCCAAAAGGCCAATTAAAGACGGGGCTTAAGTACAGTGTCCAACGGATGACGCTCTGGCGCCAATTTGAGGGGAAAAATGCCGTTTTCGGATTTGGGATTTTCTCTATAACCAAGACAGCTATTCAAGTGATTCAAAAGGCCTCATAAAGCTGGGTGAAAGCACTTCAGCGCAGTACCAGGGAATTGTCTTAAACTATTTACTTTTGATTTTATCATCTTTTACGTTAAATTACCCCATATTTCAATGGCTTATTCACTTCAAAAGGCGATATCTTTCAAACAAACAATTTTCTCTTAAACCCCTGATATCATGCTGTAGTCCACATTCCTAACAACAATAGGTGCAACTTTTGTAACGATCGGTTGCTCAGATAGTGAGATATACTTGGCAGCGATTCACTTATCTCGTCAATATAGAAAGCTGTTAAAACAGCCAAAAACGTTCACA